TATCAGCGACAAGTATTCGACTTTTCATTTCTGAGGCGACTTCTTTCATGGGAAATCTTGACCTTCAACTGGAGTGCGCTCAGTTGGTTCAGTGCATGTCCCTTTTTATTTGGCTTCTTGCTTACTGACTAAAATCAATCGTCAATCATTTTCAAACAACTTTTACTGACTTACAATGCGTACGAATAGATATTGATACGAGGGATGTGCGATAGACTTACCTCCACGTGGTGCACCCTGGGCAACGTATATTCATACGGCAAAAAAGTCTATTAACTGGCAGTTGACTTCTCACTTCAAACTACCATCACCTCACTCTATCCCATATTCGAATATTTTCACAGTTCTCACCTCACCTTTGTTCTACCTTTGTGTTTGTCTCTTACATCTTTGAAACACTCTTCTGTCCCCCCCCTCTCAACTTTTTTCACTTTGATGTTCCTTCCCCTCTGTGAAACCTGAAGTCAACTAAAGGGCTAATGATAACCATCAAGACGCCTGCCATTTGATATAAATAAATAAATATTGCCCACGTTAAACGTTTAAATTAGACCCTGCTCCCTAAACAGACAACAACCAATCAAATCATGGAAATCTCTTTCACTTTTTCCTGCTAACTCATGGCATGAAACATATCCATGGGGAGGGGGAGGGGGATTTATTTACCGGACGAATGCTGCAATTCCATTAATTTCGAGATCATCAGAGGTAATATTCAGAAAGTACCAATTAAATGATATCTTGGAATTGTGGCCATTTCTAAATGGTTAGCAGTTGATTCCAATATTTTTTACTAATGTGAAGAGGAAAGATTAAGCTATATTCATTTAATTTCTATGTTTCCTATTCCTGTTTAAATTGGCTTAGGCATGAACTTTCACAAAGTATTCGATGGACAAGTAATTGTTGCAAACAACATTGCCAAAATTACCAACGCCAGACGCTATAAATATCAATTATCAATGGTGCATTTAAGGGATTTTCAATGCGAAATCACTTAGAAAGAGAAGTGGTTGTATATTAGCCCCCAAATTGCTCACAGATGATAAATATCCTATTCAGGGCCGCGGCACGAGTTGCCGAGACGAAAAAGGACCCGCAAATTCCCTCACCCCCCTCCCCCACCCACCGCTTCCCCAGTGAGTGACCCCTTTTTTTCCTTTGTAAACACACAAAGTGGGTTTTAACTCGCCATGCCCCACTCCACCAATTTACCTGACGTGGGCGTTTGATTGGACCCCTACAAGATTTATGACAACCGCAATCTCAACAAAGGGACACATAGAGAAAGTTCTAACAATAGCTGATTCGTACTAGCCATGTATCTTAACTTATTACCAGCTTAAAGATCTCTAGCATGGTCACTTATGCCGCTATCAAGCAAATTGTTGCCGACTTTTTAAATGAGGAATTACAAGAAAAATATGTTCCCTTTTGTAAGCAAGCAATTTTATTCCTTTTTTAGCCTTTAGAGGATATTCTCCGGATATCTAGATTGTTAGTGCAGAGGCAAATGAGAGATTCCTTTTAGGTCGTGCCAAATCAAGTACGCTTGACAATCCCAGTTGTTGAATGTGTAACTTTTCTTAACCTAAACCGTTTTAACGCGTTTTGTTCCAATAGGTATATTGCCACTACGTGAAGTCCGCTAAAAGTATCTTGTAATGCTCAAACTGAAAGCATTGAAAGGGTTCACTTTTTTTAGTCTCTTAGACTATGAATTGGAGTACTTGTGGAGTACACGATGGTGTTATGGCTGAGCAAAGAAATCTTAATCACACTCAGACAGACCGAAGGTGTAGCCATGCTGGTTGTCGCTAGGGCAACAAGTGCGACCGTGGGCGCAGCGATCCATAAACAAGCCACTAATCAATAGCTCATACGTGGTTTACCAAACCCTTCATCGTATTTTCACGACCCAACTCCCTGTCTGTCAGCATCCCTAGCAAATAAACGTCATACCTCTGTTTCCTCTATAGCTTAGCTTGTCCTGTGAACACCTTCCAAACTAGGAGATCTTGTTACAGAGATTACTGAGCATAATTCAAGGCTAATTAGTATGCCAATCCACTAAAGACTAATATTTTAATACATTTATATATTTGCGAAATACAATGTTAA